TTGACTGGTCGATACAATGAGTGATCTGTGTAACGAGAATGAAAATCATATCTATATTTGGACGTTTCCTCCTGTTATACGTACCATCTAAATTTAGAGTTCGTCCGTTTAAATGGTTTAATTGGTTACCTGCGCATTACGACATTCTTGATTTATAAATCGGGTATAGAGTGGGAACCATTGTAAATGTATAAAAGTATACTGTAATTCATTATTGCGTCATAAATTCGTAAGTCATCTTTGAATTGAGACGTTACACCAGTATGATGACTTAACTATGAAAATCTCTGCCAAATTATTTATTATAAAAGAGTGACTCGTAATGGCATGCCATAAAATGATGATTGAATAATTTTTTATATTTGTATAAAGATTTTTAAATATTTGTGTTTATAAAAATAACTTTAATGCCATTATTCAAATTTAAACACTTTCAACCCAGATATTTATTATTATATTATAAAATAAAAATAAAAATTTATTTTGTTAGTATTTTAAAATTTTTAAATATTAAAATTTTATAATTACTAAAATTATAAAATTTATACTTATCTTTTTTATTTATATTTTCTTAAGTATTTTCTTTAGGTTTCTTTTAATAGTTTCTTCGGGTTGAAAGTGTTTAAAATTCTTTTGGCATTGTAAAAGTTATATTTTATTAAAAATATTTAATTTTTTCTTTTTTTAATATAAAAATATCTTATTCAAATCATGAAGTTTACAAAGGGATTTTTCATGCCCTTATATAGAAAAATCTTATAAAGCAAGCATGTAAAAAAATTTATTTTATAAAAATAAAAACACTAAAATACATGATTACAAAAAAGAAACTAATCTGAAAATATAAATCTTGTTTATTTGACATGACTACTTATTTAAAGCTCCAGGGTGTAAATAATGCATAACCAGTGTTATAAATTCAAAAAAATTTTATTGCCGCAAACTTTAAAATCATGTTTAAAAATATGTACAAAAATTTTTTTATATAGATAAAGTAAAATTATAATACACGCAAATTTAAGTTTATACATGCTGCACCTATTTCGCATACCCAATTTATATCACTATGCATAACAGTCTTGGCTCTAGCTAATAAACTAAAACAACTAAATCAAATAACAACTTATGTGTCATGTAGCAGATTAAAATGAAATCAGATTAAAATGAAATATTATACAATGTAAAAAATAGACAAGCCACTGAAAAATAAAAATTTTTGAAGTGCATTTTTTAGGGTTAGTGGTTAGGGTTAGAGGTTAGTTTTAGGGTAGAGTTTATAATAAACAAGTTTTAGAGGGTTAAATAAAAATCCTTATTTCATTTTAATCTGATTTCATTATGATCCACGACATGTCATGATGGAACCTTTTGAATTATTTAATAAATAATAATTATTCAAATTATTAACTAATAACAACTTAATAATATATAGCATAGCTAATTAGTACAAGATGTTTAAAAAAATAAAAAGTTGCATCAATATTTTCTTAAGATATCAGCAGACTAACTTTTTATTAGTTCCATTGATAGTTTATCTAATCGATATTATTTAGCAATGATCGATATACTCAGAGATCCCATCACTACCTATATGATGATAATAATTAATGAAAAACTTAAATTCAAAAAAAAAAAGAAAAAAAAAAGTCATTTACTTATTGTATTTGAGACAATTTTCTCTCATGTTTTAGGAGAAAAAAATTTTTTGTATTTCCTCACAAATTAATGATAAGATTGAGATTTTTTACATGCTGGATCAATTTTTAATAATTACGATTATGAATTTTGGCCAGTTACTGTTTTCGGATCACATCTTTAAAGTAAAGAAATAAAGATTAGAAAAGTTTCAAATATAAGATTAACTTAGTTGTGTTTGTATAAATTAGGCCATGCAAAATTAATTAATTGGTTTTCATAACCTGGCCGGGTCAAAATTTAAAAACTTCTAAAAAAAATTTTTTATATGTTTTAATAACCGGGTGGGTTTTAAAAAATTTTTTTATATAAATTTTATAAACTTTTATATATGAAATTTAAAAAAAAAAGCCAGCCGGCCGGGTTTATTTTTAAAATTTCATGTTATGAAAACCAAGTAATTAAATTTGTATGGCCTTATTTTTTGAAATACAAATCTTTTTGATAGATTCTTTTAATTCTGATTTATTTTTTAAATTGCAATATGAAAAGAATTATTCTTTTTTGAAAACAGCATTATATAATAAAGTTTAGTTTTATAAAACCTAAAAAATAATTGTCACATGTGGAGTGCAAACAATATTTAGTAGCCTTTTATAAAAAAATTTAACTTGTAATGTGTCTCTCTCGAAAGTTTAAAAAAAAAACCTTAAAGAAAATTTGACAATCTACAACAGAGTTGAGGTGGATCGAAATTTATAAATTAGTTCTACTTAAGTGTTATCATAATTATTATTTAATTAATTGATTGTGAGAAAGCCCTAAATCTACTATTAAAAGTTTAGAGAAATCCTCATTTTTGAGTTTCTGAGAATAAGTCAATATAAATTACAATCTAATTAAGTTTACTCATTAGAGTATTAAGTCAGTTTAAATTACAATCAATTGAGTTTACTCATTAGAGTGATTTATAATTTAATGTTTAGTTTTTCAGTATTAATTTCGTTGATTATTTCTTCTAATTCTCTAATTAATTAATATAATTCAATTAATTAATTAAATTATAAAACCTGATATGATAGTTTTATAACTGCCAAAGATGCATTCCTTTATATATAAAGTAAGAATTAAGTAGTTATTAGAGAAGTGATATTTGTACTAAATTCAATAATTAATTCTATTAGAAAATGGACAAATATAAAACTAATAGGTATATTAAAGTTTTCAAAAAGAATAAAAAAAAAAAAGTTTTAATGAATATATTATATTAATTTTTACCTAATTAATATTTTATTAATATTTTATAACCATTTTTCTATGAAAATATTGAAATCATCCAATTGATAATTGAATTAACCATGGGTGCATTTTATAATACCAAAATTATGTTTAGCCAATTTGTCGAAAGCACTTAATAACTGAGATAATAAACCTGGAGCTATTGTAGCAATATCCCTGGCAGTATTTGTAGCAGTGTTTGCAGCATTGGTGATAGCACTACTAATAGCCGAAACAGTTAGTTCTATATTTGATGAAATATTAGGGATTGAAAGAGTTAGTGATTTCTAAAGAAGAGGGTACTAACAATTAATAATTGTGGCAGATTAAAATAAAACTAGATTAAAATGAAATTTTTTTATTTTTTTAGAAAAATTTAAAATTTTTTGGGAGACATTTTTTAGGGTTAGGGTTAGTGTTAGAGTTAGGGTTTAGAGTTATTTTTATTAATAAATAAAAGAGTATAAGTAGGTTTTATAAGCTTTAAAAATGAGCAAGAAAGGTCTCCAGTTTCATTTTAATCCGATTTCATTATGATCTGCCACAATAATTATTTAAGGAAAAAAAACAACAACAAGAAAACAATCAAAATTAATTTAATACTAACTTACATTTATCAAAATTATTAACCAGTGAAGGTGTAGTGCATGAATTATCTACACAATAATTGTACAGTGTGAAAGTTATATTATTTTTTTTTGTAATAAATTTTATCGGTTCGGCAAAGGTAAATTTTGATAAATAAATAGTTTTAACTACCAAGCAAAAGGATAGGAAGAAGTAAAAAAGACAAAAGAATTAACATGAAAGAAGAAAATATTAAAGAATATTCTTTTGATAGCTGGAGAGACAAAATAAGTATAAAAAGATAAATAATTCCCAGGGTTATCCATGCTAATGATAGATAAACTTTTATCAGGCATCTTTATACTGTGTATACTAATCTAGTTCTTTAGTTGGTTTAATTAATTTATTCATTAAATTGGAATTTTTTTTAGAATTTTTGATTTTTATAATTTATTATAATTTTGATTTTAATTAATGTAATCTCTGTCATTTTCTATCTTTTTCAATTATTAAATTATAAAAATTTTACTTAAAAAATGAATTGCAATATCAAAATTAGGATTCTGGATTTTGTCTAATTATCAAAAAAAAATTTTTTTTAGAAATTAGATGCATGAAAACGAAGTGAAAAATCCTGAAAATATTGAAAAAAATTCTTAGGCTTTTAAAAAAAATTCTTAAGTATCAGAGCCAATTCCCAAAGCAATATATATAAGTTCATATTTCTCTAATTAAATGAAAATAATTTGGAATATAAAAATATCATAAAGTCAGGTATTTAATAATGTTTTAACTTTTTTTTTCTTTTTTGATGCTTTCTGTGATTTTATTATCTTTTTACATCTATAAAATTCTTTTTTTCCTATATTCATGGTAAATTGACATTTATTATATTTTTTCTGATGCTTTTTGTAAAATTCAGATTTGTAACAAATAAGGCAATAGTGACTCCAATAGTATATAGAAAAATGGTCGTAAAATATTAATTTTTTTTTTTTTTTTATATTAAAGGTGAGGTCTTGCTCGTATCTTTATTTAATAATTTATATAAGTGATTACATAA